TGGCTTTGCCCCGAGCCAAGGGCTAACCCTCCACAGACCCTACCTTCAACTCATCATGCTGGCCAAAACCATGACCTCAGAGACTAAAGCTAATACACTACACTAAGTCTCCTATAAACTGACTGCCTGTTTGTCTCTTCCATTTAGTTCCTGAACTGATAAAAGACAACATCAAACTCGCCTACATATAATTTTCAAGCATGGATTAAGAGCTGACACATTTGTATCCTCAACTTCCAATTCATACCTGTAACAAGCCTTTTCCTCCTTTGGCCAGGCTCTCACCGAAGTCTTTTGGCTGCCGACCCATTTCCTCTCTCCGTTTCTGCTGAAATTCTTTATCCATAGTAATAGCAGCCAGGCCTTTTCCAACAGAACCAGTGATCCTAGACACCACCCCTGCAGCACCACCTGATGGAACAGGGCAGAAGGCAAAAGTTACTGTTCTTTCACAATTTAACAGCAGGGATCACACAAGAAGCCACAAAGTTTATTTCCCTTCATATGCAGTTAGGTATTTTGAATTTATCCAGAGTGACCACCACTTGTTGTCCAGGAAAAGACTCCAGAATCTGGACTGAAATCCATAAATACAGCAAAAGGTAGATCTTCTATCACGTCAGTATATGTTGCATAGCCTATTGGATGGAATCACATTTTCTCCAATTGCTGTAACATATAGCTAACTAAAAATCCAAGGTAATTCTAACAGTAACTGGTCCTAAGAACACTTCTCAGGCTTCTCTAGATATTTTAGGACCACTAGAATAATCTTCCTTATTTGTCCACAGCATGTTACAAATTCAGTTACATATGCAATGCTTCTCAGTTTGCTTGCTCGGTCTACAAAACCGACATTTCGATGGTCTCAGAACATTAGGTATGAATGATCTGTATCACAACTACTGGCAATAGTATCTGACAAACTTAAATACTTGACAAAATTACCATGCACATGTTCTAAAATATAAACTTTCCCTTCAAAATAACAAGAAAAAAAAAATCTAAATGCAATCCATGAGTTAACCTAATTTCTTAAAACAGTAACAATATTATACATACCCACTGTGTGTCCAAGAAGACTTTTAACACCAATTACAAAGCCCTCAGCAAATTCTTCAGGTCCTTGAACAGCACCCTAAAAATGAAGCTTATTATGAACAGCAGAAAACTACATTTACGCAGCTGTTTCAAGAAAAAACAGCAATTTCGTTACACTTAAAGTAAGGCAATTTTAATATGTTATTTCTTTCAAGTTAACATAAAAAATTACTACTTTCTTAACTGTTCAGAGTGAAGAGAAGAGTGACAACGGAACTACAACCTTACCAGTAGATTCAATCAGCCTACTAGTCTTACACAGTTGAAGAATCAGGAAGTCATACCTGGAATGGCTCATAGAAGAAAGCTTCAACTCCCTCAGACAAGCCTCTGATTAAGCCGAACGGATTTCCAAGAACATCTAACCCAAGTACAAGAACATACATCTGTTTCAGGAACTAAACAATGAGAGGGGAAAAAAAGCAAATACAAAAGCAGTGTTACTAGCTGTTGTCACACATAGTTCCATGTTAGAACCTAAGGCTGGTAGATAATTAAGTATTCCCACTAGAACGGAGACAGGCTTAGGCAAAAGATGCAGTATATGTATGGATAGCTATTAGAATACTTTGATGAAGAAAAATATAAAGAACAGACGCAATCACTTAAAATTCTTGAAATATTCTCAGGACACTTCTGTATTTACGTTTGCGTAATGCGTCACCAGATTCCTACTTCACTACCATGAAATAAAAAATTAGTACCTTTTAGGAGGTATTCACCTTTTCTTGCCTATTTTCTGCATTCTCTAAGATACTTATTCAAAATTTTACACAAAGGCTTGACTAAATAAGCTTACTTGTTCGCTATAATGTCTGACAACTCTCTTCATCAGTTGGTCTCTCTTGTAGAATTGATATTTAATTTCAAAGAAAGCAAGTCTGAAAGAGAAGTAATCACACAATAGTTATAGATACCCTTCTTCCTTCTAAATAGTTCTCTTTTTTCTGTCAGATAATCCTGAAGCCCTTTTCTTTTGAAAAGGAGCCCAACCCTATCTTCCCTCCATTCCTCCCATTCCCCAAAGGCTGGATACACACTAGAGTCAGTCGGCAAAGTTTACCATGGCCCCAGTTATTAAATGCATATTAGCTTCAGTAAAAATATTAAAAAAAAAAAAATCTGTATTAGCTTACTTAAAAATAAGATCATCCACATCTGTTAGAGTAGCTCCAATACTTTTCAGCAGCAAATTCAGAGAATGGATGGCTATCATTTCTTCTCCATTATCTGACGCTTCTTCACCAGAAGCCAGAGACAGACTCAAATGCAACTGTAAAGACAGAATCAGTAGAACAAGACAAATCAAGACAAGAGACACACACCAGACAGGTTGTGGGGTGCACATGTAAACAAACCAGTGGTGAAACAGTGGTAAGTGTATTTTTACTCACTTTGAGGAGATGTACAATTTCAACAAACATGCTTGAACTTACAATGGTATTACTTTGATAACATATATATTTATTTGTATTTCCATACAGAGAAGTATCAAATTGCATTATAAGTTTAGCTTTTGTTATATTTACATCTGTAAGCTTCTGTGTAAACAATGAGAATTAACATGTTAAATACCTGTAGCTTAATTCCTAGTATAGGCTAAATTTTAAATTCCGATTTACTTAACTAGCTCATGTGTGTTTTTGCAACTGGTCACTCTTTTGGGGAAATGCATGAACTTTACAGAACTGTCTTTAACACTGTAAAATGGGATTTTTTTGGTGTTGATAAAACATTTATTCTAAAAGAAATTCACACACTTTTCTTAAGGGTGAAGAGGGCAACAGAAATTTATTTTCCTTTTCCCTTGTTCATCACCATAACCAATACTGCTCCCTTCTACTTGCTTAGAAGACAGCATAGCAGTTAACATGTATGTTTTGACTTTTTCAAGATTCCCAGTTTTCATTTTTTTCAAAAGGTCACAAAGCCATTTTCACAGCCTTTCCTACTATCCAGTGGTTTAGAATATTGAGATGAGTCACTGAAGTTAAGATGGAAAAAAAAAAACAGGAGAGAAAAAGAAGCCCCTTCCTGTACTTAACAGGCAGTACATCTAGACATTTCAAATAAAAATGCAAAAGAGACTTAAAATTACAAGCATTTCGACAACAACTTTAACCTGACTAGCTAGAGGATAATGTTCAAAATATCACAAGTTTCTTCTTCTTCTAGCATTTTTCCTGGTCTCACAATCTTACATGTTTATAAGCACAATCATATTGGAAAAAAAATCCAAGAATTTAAGTGTACCCTAACTGATATCTAGCAAAATAAGTAGAAAGTTAAGAAAGTGCCAGAATTTAATCACCTGTATTGGCCTTATGTCTGTCTTTTATATGTTCAGTGAAAAGAAAAGCAAGTAATATTTTTCCTCTAAATTCTTCTTCAATCTGATAGCCTTAGGGGAGCATTCTGTTGATTCAGAATAATGTATAGCTACTGAAGATCTTTCTTCCCTTGCTCTGAAAAATCTAACTGGTTCAAGAGAGACATGAAGACAGGCCCATGAACATGCCCATGAACGTGTATTTTATTGCAGTTTATCATACATTGCTTGGTTACCTTCAGGCCAGCATTTTATCTAGCTTTCCTCATTATTATACCCATCGACTCTTCCCACTTAGCTATGGTTAAGGGTCTGTTCGTACTCACAGGCAACTAAGAAATTTTTCCAACAAAGTATTAAGTTCTAGAGAACATAAAAAAAAAACCATTAGGAAGACAAGATGAAGACCTCAGTTACCCAGAAGGTTGATCAGAGGATGCAATTACTGTAAGGAATTAAGACATCATTGACATCAATTGATATAATTATTATATTAATAAGCAGAAGTATCTCTACCTTAATTGGAGAAATATGAAAATGCTCAAAGAAGCTGAGCATTGACAGGTCTGTTAGGGAAGATTCCATTAGCTCAGTGTTAAGTGCATCCACATCTCGCTGAATTAATTTAGACTGGTTTTATTAAGAAAAAAAGAAAAAAACGGAACAGAAGTTTATGTCATCAATATATACATTATTAATAATA